GCAGGGCGCGGGCGGCCAGGTCGTGGGCGCGCTGGGCGGGCGGCAGCGCGGCGTTGACGTCGGGCAGCGCGCCGGCCTCGACGAGGCTGCGTATGATGAGCGTCGAGTCGCCCATTGTGCGTGGCTCGCCGCCGGGTCCGGGTCCTGCCACCTCGACGTAGGGTATCTTTCCCCTGGGCGCGGACCGGGGAGAGCCCCCGCCTAGGCGGTACGGGACGCCGCTGAAGCGCAGCCTGGCTTCGAGCTTGGTGACGAACGGGGACCAGACGTAGGCGTTCTTGGGCGGCGAGCCGCGGAACACTGTGAGCTGGTGGTTGCTTTCGGGGGTGCACATGGTTCTCGTAGCCGGGCCGCAGTTGTGGTGAGGGTCGTGGCGCGTTGCTCTTGGTCCCGGGGGGGGGTTGCTGTGAACGTGTGTCTGTTGGTTTGGATTGATCGTGAGGTTGTCGTGGGCGGTTGACTCGCGACGTTTACGCGGGGGGCTACGTCACAGGTGCCAGGCGCGCAGCTGGCAGCTGGCAGCTGTCAGCTTGGACGATGGAGGGGCAGAGAGTGTCGCAGCGATAGTTAAACATGAAGCAGGGATGGTGGTCACTCATCATGACTGATTGATTGATTGCCATTGAAAACGCCGTTTCTTCCACAGATACGATTACTCTGTCGTTCTCCAACATCGGATCATCAGTTCGGTGACGAATTCCTAGCGGAAACGACCACATAGAGGGTAAGCAGGGACCGGACGAGGGCAACAGGCCGCCACGCCTTGGAACCTGGCGGACGGATCGCCCCGTCGCTGCTGGAACAATGTAATTCCCCAAAAAATTGATTTGTCAGAAAAGAGATTGCACATCTCCCCTCGTTTTGACCGAAATATCTGCGTAGAGTCATACCGAGGCATCGTGCGCTCAGATCTGGTGATTCAGGGTGACAGTCAACCTGCCGGCTGGAATAACCACCAGGGAGTGACAATCTGGTGGGGCAATAGCCGGCGTCAAATACCGGGTTCCAGACAGCTGCAACGAGCCGACGTTGCCGCGTGGAAAAAGACTCCACATTTGCCGCCGCTCGGCTGGGGCAGCCGTTGACCTTGACTGGGCAGGAGACTGTGACCCCTCCAAAAGACAAAACAAATGAGCAAATGCATAAACGTTTTTTTTTTCTCAAGGAAAACTAGCTGAATTAATTGTTTGCATTGAAATTTCTAGTATTATTTGGCGAGCTGAAAACACGGGTAAAAAAAAAGGGGAAGGCTGAGCCTGAGCTTGTCTTTGAAGAAATAACGTGGCTGTCATACGATTGGGCGGCTAGGCCCCAAATGTTGCGGGCTATACTTTCCCTGAGTGGGGCAGGAGAGAGAGCGGGGACGACAAAGGCAAGATGCGGGCTCGGTGTGAATATTCTTGGAGAAGAAGAATTTGCCTCATCTCGGATGAGATGCCGGTGGCCATTATTAATGTAATTTATGAAGAAAATCAAGCATCGAGCTTGTTGTATATATAAGTGGTGTCAAGAGCCCTCTCCGATCGTGATAGCTTCGACACATTGTCATCTCACTCACCAGTTGACCTTTTTATACGGACCCCCCCCCCCTTTTGCTTTCGCTTTCGATTGAGCCAGCAACCATCATCAGTCGAGTGAAAGAAGACCCAGTAACCAGGACACAATGGCGAGCAAGTCGTTCAACGTCGGCGTTATCGGCTACGGGTGAGTCCCAAGCCCAGCGTTTGAAAGCATCCAAAGCTGACAGCGAGGGGGGTAAACGAAGCCTGTCGGCCAAGGTCTTCCACATCCCCTTCATCGCGACGACGCCGCAGCTCAGGCTTCACAGCATCGTGCAGCGGAGCCCCCGGGACGGCAACTCGGCGCCGCAGGACCACCCGTCGGCCAAGCACTACACAGACGCCAAGCAGCTGCTGTCGGACGGCGAGGTGGACGTGGTGGTGGTGACGACGCCGCCCGACACGCACTTTGCGCTCACCAAGGCGGCGCTCGAGACGGGCAAGCACGTCCTCACGGAGAAGCCGTTTGTGCCCACGGCCGCCGAGGCCGAGCAGCTCATGGCCGCGGCCCGCCAGAGCGGCCGCCTCGTCTGCGTGTACCAGAACCGGCGGTGGGACGCCGACTTCCTGCTCGTCAGGCACCTCGTGGCCAGCGGCGCCGTCGGGCGCGTCGTCGAGCTCGACTCGCACTTTGACCGGTACCGCGCCGCGCCGCCGCCCGCCGGCGGCTGGAAGGTCGAGCTGGGAACCCCC